AAAGATGAGGGCTGAAAAGTGCTACTCAGTGAATTAGTATCTGTGAAATCCTTTCCTCATTATTTTTATCGCATATCCTAATACAAGTCATACCTAGATAGCATATTAAAAAGCAGAGACATACATGTTTCAATGCTGTTCTCTTGAAACATCCCATCTTCGCCTTCTCCCAGAGTCCACAAGTCTGTTCTATACATCTGAGTCTCTTTTTGTTTTGCATATAGGGTTATCATTAGCATCTTTCTAAAGTCCATATATATGTGTTAGTATACTGTAATGGTCTTTATCTTTCTGGCTTACTTCTTTTGAACTGTGGTGTTGGAGAAGACTCTTGAGAGTCCCTTGGACTGCAAGGAGATCCAACCAGTCCATCCTAAAGGAGATCGGTCCTGGGTGTTCATTGGAAGGACTGTTGTTGAAGCTGTAACTCCAATATTTTGGCCACTTGATGCGGAGAGCTGACTCATTGGAAAAGACCCTGATGCTGGGAGGGATTGAGGGCAGGGGGAGAAGGGGACGACAGAGGATGAGATGGCTGGATGGCCTCACCGACTCAATGGACATGGGTTTGTGTAAACTCCGGGAGTTGTTGATGGACAGGGAGGCCTGGCATGCTGCAATTCATGGTGTCGCAGAGTCGGACACGACTGAGCAACTGAACTGAACTGAATACAAGTCAGGCATTGCTGTAGGATTAGATAAGGGGCATTACAATAGTGAATGAACCACAGTTCTGCTGCTCTCTTGAAGCTTATCTTGAAGCTTATATTCTATTAATAAAAGAAAGTCAGTGACAAAATAAGGGAAGTTCAGATAGTGGCAGGCATTATGAGAAAGTTAGGGCTACCTAAGAAACAGAACATGATGGGGTGGGTGAGGGGGAGTGTCAGAGTGGCTTGTTTTTAGATAGGGTGTGAAAAGAAGGCCCTTCTGGAGAGACGACTCTGGAGGGGGGACCTGAACGATGATCTGGAGGAAAGGCATCCCAGGCAGGGAGGACAAGTGGGAAGACTTTGGAATAGAGGTGCACACTTGAGGAAGAGGAAACGCCTTGATGGATGGAAGAAGCTGGCAAGGGTCAGGTCTTACACAGCCCAAGTCAAGGGTTTGTGGAGCAAAATGAGAAACCCTTGGAAACTTTATGTATTAGAGCAACATGTGATTAATGTTTTAAATAGATCATTAAGCTACAGCTTGAAGGGCTGTGGCAAAGACCTACAGATACTACAGAGATGATAGTTGATACAGAGGAAAGGAATTTGATTACATAAGCAGGCAAGGGAAGAACTTCCTCTGTTCTTTGAACTGGATTGGAATTATTCTGAGCAGCGGTGGCAAAAAACAGACGGGTGAAAAGGACAGCTGTTGATTTCATGCTTTAATTATGAAAAGCTTGTACTGTTAATCTCAGTGAGGTAGTATTCGGAAACAGCTATGTTTTTTGAATTGTGTTCACAGGAAATGTAGAATTCAAACTTTTCTAAGTAGTTCGGTGCTTTCTAACATGAATTGTTTGGATTGCAGAGGTAAAAACTAGAACCCCATTATATCTAACACATATACTACACACAATGCTATGAGGGCCAGTTTGCAGACAAGAGTTTAAATGACTTGCCGGGTCACCTTAGTAATGACTTGAATGCAGAACTGACATGAAAGCCCTCATTCACTTTGTTCCAGAAATGGGCCAAGTTTCCATGGCTACAGACAGTGAGCTGTGACTTCCAGCTACAGGAGTGACTAATTCTAGGGGATACAGGGAATTGAGACCCATGGTGAAAGCTGCTCCCCTTCCAGTGTTCCCAGGAGATGAGTTTCCTTATCAAGTCACCTGACATTCTCTCTCAGCACTAAACCAAAGCTCCCAATGTGTGCATTCTTTTAACGTGATTTCTTAAAAATCTAATCTTAACCTTCATGTTTACTTATTACAGTCCATGGTGCCAGGGGGCTCCCCTGGTGGCTCAGAGGGTGAAGAATCTGCCTGCAATGCAGGAGACCCAGGTTCAATCCCTGAGTTGGGAAGATCCCCTGGAGGACATGGCAACCCACTCCAGTAGTCTCACCTGGAGAATTCCACAGACAGAGGAGCCTGGCAGACCCTAGAGTCCATGGAGTCTCAAAGGGTTGGACACTTCCCCATGGTGAGCTAGGAGTTGGCTCTTGGGACAAACGAGTATTATTTGTTACTATGAAATTATCTTGTTTTTGGACATTTTCATGAAAAAAAAAAAAAACTTCAAATTTTTAAAGGAGGCTTTTTATGCAGATAGCATGCATTAATATGGGTTTAACAACTGATGTTAACAGTGACAATATTTAAAGCTATAAAGCAACTTAAATTCAGGAGAGAGGTCATTACTTTTATGATAATTTTAAAATGGAAAGATTAAGAATTCCACTGGTCTTTCTTTAGGATTAAGATGTCAATTGTAAATGACAAATGTAAAATTCTATAACACAATAGGACTTGTATTAAGAATTATTAAGACAAATAACATCTTATTTGCAGATGTGCAGCTAGAGTGGGAAATAAAGGTTAAAAGAACAGATACAAATGGGGCACATATGTTCATACAAGCAGTAATGTTTCAGGATCAGGAACTTAGGTGAGATACCTGGTTTATGAGGCAGCAATTCAGTATGTTTCAAAATAAACCACCTTGGGATCTATGAGAAACAAAAAAATGTGTTTAGGGATACCACAGGGTTACAATCAGCCAACCCAGAATATGAAAATTACAAGACAAATGACCCAATTTTTCAGGGGAAAAAAAGATGGACAACTTGTGATTAAAACCAAATACAGACCTTGTTTGAACAAACCAACTATAAAACAAACAGGAAACTTGAATACTAAGTTAGATGTTAAAGTAAAAAGGTTGCCTGACCTAGAATTGATCATTGTTTTTGGAGCTGATCGGTACTCATCCCTGTAATTAAATGTGGGTTCAGCAGCATAAGATTATTAAACTCTTGACAAGAACCTAAACTCTCAACAACCTAGAAAACGGATTCAGTAACAGCACAAGACACTGAAACTCTCACAATACTGTTAATCTACTGTACTCTAACATAAAAAAACTTCACTCACTCCCAGAAAAAAAATAGCACAAAAATTAGGGCAGAAGGAACAAAGTAATCATTCCAAAGCAACCTGTAACATACAGTTCTTACCTCACATGCAGGTGTATCTTTTACCTTCATAAACGCCTTCACCCACATGCTATTTCCAAACAAGGATACAATAAGAATTGCTACACTATTAAGAACTCAGGATTTGTTCAACAGGGTCTTTGTTTAACAGGTCATTTGCCTTTCTTCAATGTTGGTCTTGGAAAGAAATGTCACTATTTAGAGGCAGTTTAAGCTTTTTAGAAATATTGTTACAGATCAGCAACATGTATCATAAAAGCACATATAGAAACAACAATGAACTATTACCTTTCCGGAAGTTGCTCATTCACACTAGGGCATGTTAGTTTTTAGTTAGGAATGTAACTGACTTAAGTACCATACCGACACTTTTATTTCCAAGTGAGCCTCATCTCTCTGAGGCTTTCTACTTTTTCCAGCCCCACTACCCACCATTGCAGAACGTGTTTGGAAATCTTTGGAGTCCTCTTCAGAAGTTGTAACTACTTTAAACATCCTTATGGCAGTAAATCTTCATCTCTTTGTGGGTGTGTTTGAGTTTTTGAAACAGCAACAAATCATTTGGAGCCAAGTCTAGTGGACAAGGTAAGTAATCAAGATGGGTAAAAATTCGAATGGAAAACTTAACTATAAAGTAATATTTTATTACGGCTTTTTAAGGTCTCTAAATTGACTTCCAAAATATTAGGGAACTCGCAAGTAAATAATTTTAAAAATACTCTTGGCTATAGACTTCTGGATTTTTTTGTGATCAGATATTCCTTTGCACAGCCAGGCAGGATGGGGACCGCAGGGGCAGGAGTTGGGGGATGGGCTCACCTCCTAGCCTAAATACCTAAAGAAAAACTTAAAAGCTGAATAGCTGGTGCTAATTTGCTGTCCTATTGAAAATTCTGGTTTGTTCACCTTCAAAATAGTACTTAAACCTGATTTAAATAACCTTATGGTACCATTTATGTGCAAATCAAATCTTGACAAGTTTCATGCCACAATAAAACATGTAATGTACACTGTTGGGCCAAACCCATTTGCTTTTTCCACCTATACAGGGGAGATTTCTAAGAATTACATTTTAATCTCACATATAACAAGGAAAGAAACAGGTCTGTCAGAAAATCAGTACAGGCATTTTACTATCAAAAATTTTTTTTAATAATTTATTTAAATAAGATTGAAGCAGTTTAGAAAAACAAGATTTGTATTTTATTTTCTTGTAAAAATCTTTACACATGCAGACAAACCAGTGTTAAGAAAGTATTCACCATCATTTAAACAAATAACCACTTAAATAGAACAGTGTCTGCAAGTTTATCTGTATAAAAATAAGATACATTTTTTACAGAATTCACGCTCCAGTTCTTATAGCAATAAACAATACACAACTATAATAATTACAATTGAACCTGACCATGGTTTTCAATTAGATACTGCTAGGGCATTTTATGTGCAAAAAAAAAAAAAAAAAAAAACACCAAAAAACATAGTCTTTTTAAAAGAAAATGTCCTCAGTGTTTCTAGAGACCTAGAGGGTTTAAGAAATCAAATCCTAATCAGTTTGCTTTTAATATTTTGATTATGAGTCCATACATCACACTGTAGATAGGCAAAATCAGGAGCTGATGCAGGCTCAAAGGAAGAAAGTCAGCGTCTGTGCCTGCCATGTCCTGAGCGACTGCCACCATGGTGCTTGCCTTTGTGGGATCTCTCAAAGGAGCGAGATCTTTCACGCCTGTCCCTATGATGTCCCCTTTCATGCCTGTGTTTCTTGACAGCATCTGAGTGATCCCGAGACTTGCTCTGAGATCGAGAACGAGACTTTTTCCTTTTATGACCATGTCTATTTGAACTTTTTAAATCATCTCTGGTATGCTTGGCTTTAAGGTGAGGAGAGCCATGATTATGATGTCTTCTTGGGCTTTCACTGTGACTGCGGGACCTGCTTCTTGATCTCGAGCTGTATGTTCCCGATCGACTCCGCCTATTATTATAACTTAGATAATAAAAATTTGAGGTTGAGAGTCAGTTTCTACTGGGAGCAAATTATTTTTGGTGGTGGGTTCATAGCAGGTTCAAAACAAAACCACTGTATCAGTGACAGACCAGACTGAAGATGTTTAATAAACTTCCCCACCCCTCACTACCTCTCCTTCAGCCTGTTAACATATTAAACAAATCTTAAATATACTACATCTATATTCCAAGGAAGGGAGTAATTCGAGTATCCTAGCTATTTACTGAATTATCTCCCATGTGCCCCAAAGAACCACTGAAGAGCCACAAGGAGCCGGCCATCTAATTGTAAAGTTAACTAGGGAAAGTCTTTGGCTATAGCTGACCTGATTCTTCATTAGTAGTAAGTGGCTGGCCAGGCTGTACACCTCTCCAGAAAACAAAAGCGAAAACCAGAACAGAATGCCGTATACTACCATGAAACAAAAAAGCCACATGCCACACAGCGTATCTCCAAACTCGTTTCTGACAATTTACCCTGTATTAAATCTAGCCTAACTTTGAAAATAGTCCATGTCCAATTTTTTTTAAAAGCCATAACCTTTTAAGACTCCAAATAAGGCTGCTTTCCCCAACAGAGTATTTACTTACTGTCTTCTTGGAGTATGTGATCTAGAACGCGATCGTGTTCTTGACCTTGATCGACTTGCACTTCTGCTATTTCTACTTCTCTTGCTGTCTTTTCTTACACTTAAAAAAAACCACAATCTTTTAGTTATGTATATAGTATTAGAAATTAAATACATAAAAAGATTCCACAGGCCATTTTTCTAACTCAACTATACTCACCCATTGTAAGGGCTTTTAGAAGCCTGTTGTCTATCCTCGGGTTCTTTTTTTACTGTCTTCACATTAACGGAAATAGGTGACTTCTCTTCAGCTTTTACTTCTCTTGGTGATGCTTTTAAAAGAACATTAAGGCATGTTAACTATTAGATTTTACAGAAGGCCAAATAGGTTTCTAAATGTAACCAAGTACCATTCAATTTTATCAGTCCTTAGTTGGCTGTCGAGAGAAAATAGGAATATCTTAACATCACTGTTTCTATGCAACTTTGAAATGCTAAAACTTACTAATAACCACACATTGGCAGTGCTTATTATTAACCTTACATGGTTTAGAGGCTGGAGAAAATCCACCAAGAGTTGAAAGGGCTGGAGTTCCATCAGGATTCAATCCCTTTGCTTTTAATTTGGCTTCTTGTAAGGCAACTTTTCTTTTCTCTACTTCTTTTTCCAGCAATTCATAGTTTGGCTGTTGGAAGAAAGAGAAGTTAGTATTTCTCTTTTACAGAAATTTACGTTCTTAGCACTGACAAAATATTAACACAAATACTGGTAAACAGAATTACCTTTTTTCTGGTATAAAGCCTAAGTGTTTCTATGCAGATCTCTTGGATCTCCTCTTCCGTCGTACCAAAAAGAAGAAACCAATGGGGACGAGTTGGCAATGGAATCTAAACCATAAAAACAAGATTCGATGAAATTTTCAGTTTTTATTAAAACTGCTAATTCCTGTGATTTCCTATTGGACTATACAAGATTCACATGTCTATATATATATTATGCACCTACCTGAAGAGCTCTAGCTGCAAGGTAGATGCAAGCACATGCAATAGTCTCTGGTTGAAATCGAACAAATACATTGGTTCGAAGACTGTCATTCATATAATTCCTGAAAAATATTTCAACCATAAGCTTTGTATGTATACAAATCAGTTCCTCTGAAGCTTACATAAAATTGGAGACTCAATCTACTTTATTCTTTTTTCTTCTCATATTTGTGTTTTCAGTATTCTAGCATATAACAATTCTTAACTCAAAAAGCAGTGAGAGATAAGAATTTAACACTAGAATCATTCATGTCTCCCAAATAGGACCGAAGTCCTTTAAAATAATTCCATATTAAAAAAATAATAATTCCATATTATTACTCCACATAGAACAGTTTTTTAAAAAAACATGAAAAGCAATGCTCCGAAAGTTCCGACATGATTAGTTTCAGAAATGACAAACCACTCCAACAATACTTCAAGCCATTAGTTATTGACCATCTCTCTCCTTTATCCACAATGAAAAGCAGTGTCAAAAATTCAATACTGTGATAGGGATAAAAAAGCATTTTCAGTAAGCACGCACCAAATTAAGAAAACTAAGCTAGTTCAGAAAACCTAGGTTGGGAAGTGAAGAGCAAATAATATATATAACAGCCTTGTTTATATACAAGTGTGACTAAATATAAATAAAAGCAGTAACTACTTCAGTTAATAAATTACTGGACTTTTATAATAGTGAACCCTCCCCACAATATTCCTGAAGTATTGAATAAATTTTACAAATTGTTCAAAAAGTTAAACTAAGACTGTTTCTTAAAAGTCCTTAACCCGTGAAAACTGATAAGAATCTGTTTTATAGAACATATATCAAAGTCATGCATTTTATAAAAGCAATGAGACTTTTCTAATATTACTAATAAAGAAGCATGGCAGTCGTTAAGTCCAGAACATAAGAATTACATCACTTAAGTACTGCACATCAACAGTCTTAAGACAGTAGTTGTGGCTGAACCACAAACTCCTTTTTTTAACTTTTAAGTCAGCACTACAAATCACACATCTTTAGCTCTAAAATCTAAGTTTTCGAGTTCTATGTTAAAATTAACAGCTCTTTAAAATGAAGTACTTCTTACTTCTAATACCATTGCCTCCAATAGCCCAACAGCTATACATTCATCAAGAACGGGAATGGTGCCCATTTTAAGCTGCTGTTTCCACTGGTAGAATTCATGCTATACAAACTAAAAATAGAAATCTAGTCAAACTCCTAGCAAAAATCATTTAAGTAATGGCTGGACAACAAATCTATCAAAAATGAACTATTCATTTTGATAGTTACAGGTATACATTAAATACATAGGCATGTTGAATAGTTACTTCTAGAAGCAAATATACAAATCCTTTTGACAACCCGACAGAACTAGAAGATGCTGCCAGATGGATATGGACCACTTCAGTGAATCTCGGATGAGAGCTTGCACTGGATTGGCTGGAGAGCAGGGCAGCCAATCAGGCCATCCTGAGGTCATGGGCTGAAGTGCAGAGGGCAGAGTTCTATGACTTACCATCATGGACTACCCTTTAATTAAAGAGTAGAAAAAAGAACAAAGTTAAATTGAGTTCTCCATTAAAAGTAATTAGTCAAGCCAAGAAAACAGGAAGCAGAAATAAGCATTATTTACCTTTTGATTAAAACACAAAAAAACAAAAAGCACCAAAACAAACTTCTCTCATCATTTTGGAAAAAGGGAAAATGAAACTTACTTTATTTCTGCTTCTGTTTTCCTGGCTAGGAAAGCAACGTAAAAAGCAACTTACCAGGCAGTTTGAACCAGGGTTTGATTACGTTCACATTCTAAGACTTGTAAATACATAACAATGATCTGAAGGACAAGGGAAAAAAACTTAGTTTAGCATATCGTAAGTTCTTTCAAAGCACAGAGTTCAATGAACATTAAGTAACTGAAAATGTTAGGAGCAAGTTTTAATTCATAAAAATAATGAATAATTGGTCTGCATGAATAATACAGACCAACCTAAATTTACCTGATATACCTAATATGTATCAACCTAAATGTACCCGATAGTCAATGTAGGTTTCTATGTTACTAAAGTTCACATGGACATGAAATGTTCCAAAATTGTACAGGAAAAAAGAAGATAAGTCATCTAAGAATAGTATCTAATTTTTCATGTGATAGGAACTGATTATTTCACTTAATTTCCAAAGGTACAAAAACCCTAGAGACTGTTTTAAAGTTACACAATGTGTATGATGCATACTATGCACAACTCAGAGTGGGTATTATAGTAAGTAACCAAACATTTCTACAGTGAAGCTTACCATACTAAAGTGTGATAAATTTTAAAAACTCAAATGAGTTTACCTCAGCTCAGATCTTTCTGGACCATTATCATCGTTCTCATTTCACAATTTTAGAGATGTGGAATCTGAGGCACAGACTTTTCTGCCAAGGTCACACAGCTAACGGCAGAAACGCATTTCTATGTGCAGATGGTCCTGTCCCCAGAGAACCTGCTCTCATTATCATTGTGCTATGGCTTATGCTGAGCATATGGGAGCCAAGAGACGCTGGAGCAACCTAAGAACACCCAATGATGCTAGAAGTGAGCAGCCACACACTCTAAGCCGTTTCACTGTGCAGAAGGTAACACAGCAGCAGGCACTTCTGCAGACACGCGTGTTTATTCATTTCATGGCTGGTATGTAACATTTCCATTCTCTAGTGTGAACACTGGGTTACCTCAGAAGCAAAAAGGACTTATCTACGCCCACATAATAAAAAGATCTGAATCCAAGACTTTCTCATTTTACAGATCATTTAAATTCCAAAGAGTTGCTTTTTAAAACCAATGGTTAGTGCTCAAAGACAAATTTGCAGGAAATAAAATTTTAAAAGAACAAAATCCTAATACTTACGACTGTAATTTCTGTATTCTACAACTCACCTTATGGGGATGCTTGACATGAACACAAAATCCCAATTCCTTTAGCACCCTCCTCTCTGCCTTGATAACTTGATTTTTGGTGTTAATGTAGTTCTGATCAAGGATCAGGGGGCTTGGAGTCCTATAGTTTGTAAGAAATAAAATCAAAACTGTTTTGCACATCCCAAAAATTTTATTTGTGGTATCTCCATTTTCCCTTCCAACCAACTATTGGCAACAGAAACCAGCTTTTTAAACTCCTGCAAACAAGTTAAAAGCATTAATCTTGTGCTGTCCAAGTTATGCTAATTAAATATATACTTTCTAGACTCACTTCCTAGTTTACTAACAAAACCCTGAAATGAAAAAAATTTCGGTCTAATGCTCTTAGATTTATCCTTGGTTTTTTTCATTCAGATTTATTTATATTACATAACAGCCTGATTTATTTTCACAGTCTCATTAGTCTCCACAGACTAGAAACAAAATTAATGTGCTCTTGCACATATGTATTACAAAGACTTCACAGCTCTTGAAAATATGTATTACAAAGACTTCATTAAGAATAGAGTGATTTTACAAAATATCCACTCATGATTAGTTTAAGACCAAAGCTAAAATTAAGGGAAAATAGGGTGCGTAGCTAATTCAGATTCCCCTAAATGAGCAGTTGATTTGAATAAACTGATCTGAGTCTCTGTTAATAATCTGGAAACTAAAGATTCAGCTCAATTACCAAAGAAATGTTTTTAAGAATCAGATTTAACACTCAAAGTGATCAATATAACCAGGCCAAAATTCGTTCAGTTATTAGCCAGCATCGTTAGTACACAATGCAGGAGAAGGGAAGACCAACTATAATGAAGAAACTGAAACAGCACGTAAGGTCTGTGTACCAGACCAAAATTGACAGCTTTAAAAGTTATGAGAGAGGCGATATATCTGTGGTTCAGTGCTTTGGGGGAAAAATGCTTTCAATTAAAAAACTCTTAAATTTAAGTCTTAAAATAATAAACTAGTTTCTTAATGAGAAGTCAGTCAGGACTTGGAATTTTTCTTCTTAAAGTTTATGAAAGGTACCAATGTCCTTCGTTTGTTACATTCTTAGATCCAACCAACAAAAAACACTTTTATTTAGAAGCTGATTTTAACATGGGTAGAATATGTAAATATTTTCCCCCATACTCATTTTCAGCCAAAAAATCCAAGAGATTTTGCTCTGGGAAGAACACAACATTTTAAAGATAGTCCTCTGAATACTGCCCCCACTTTTCCTTTCACTATGGACACCAAATCCAAAAAAACTTAATCTTATAATTTTATACTACAATCCACTTGAAGATCAGAAAAGAATCTGAAATCAGCTATATTACCCTGTAATGTATGTTTCCAGAGTAAAAAAAAATCAACTCATTTATTTTCCTTTCTTTCTCCTGTTTCAAACTATAAAACCGCAACGCTTAACTAAACTATTTCTAGCTTTTCTATACTATCAAGTTGGATATAAGACAAAAATTGGCAAAGCTGACAAGATGGAAAACAGCCTGTTAATGCTGAAAGTGGCCTTCACTCAATTCAGTTCTTACAGCTTTGAAAGGTGAGAAATGAAGCCACATTTTTCAGGTGGGGAGGAGACTGATTGCTAACATAAAAATATAAATAATGAACCCATTTTATCAGGACAAACAGGCTACGAGTTCACTGTTCTTTGGAAAAAATAAATGAGGACAGGGAAGCCTGGTGTGCTACAGTTCATGGAGTCACAGTGATTTGGACACGACTTAGCGGCAGAGAAACTAATGTGTACACAAAAACGTGTTCAGAGATCTTAAGGTTTATCATTTCTCAATGTTATAACAGGAAATCTGGGGAAAAGTGAAATCTACTTAAAGAACCAACTCTTTAACCAATGGACTGGTTATCTGATGATAACCAGGTATTCATTAGGAGACAGAATACCTCTGGTGGTATAGTTACACACCACCTTCTTAACACTTAAGGTGCAACTCAAATAGTAAACTACACCATTAGAATCTTTATAAAATTATTATGAAAAGTTTTGTCTCTTTTTTTCCTGTTTGTGTTGAACAAATTTATTTTATCTCTTACCAAACTTGCTTTAAGAGTTATTCCAAATTCTATTAGAAATTCATTTTCTTACAACCAACTCAACATTTGAATTATGGTTATCATCTGGTCCCTAATCAGGTTTAATCACTAATTCTGCTTAATTAGTTATTTTCTATCTATTCTGTATAATCTTTACTTTCTCATTTTTTGGTGTCAAAATCCCAATATTAAACCAATTAGGGAAACCAAACCCACTCCCTCCTCAACTTCTTGCTTAGGCAATAGTAACCACTTGCAATCTTCAGTCCATTTTGTGGATGTATATAATCTGATACCTTCACTGTTCAGAAGAGGTTTTACCTCACAATGAAAGGAGACTCAATGAACATGTAACTTATCCTACTTACAAAGACTACTTTGTATCACAATTGTATCCTCAAATAGCAGCAGTAAGAAAATGTTCAAACTGCCTAAGCAAATTGTTTCTTTGTATTAACAAAGTATCTACTCATTCTTTACCTGGCAACAAGCACATCAAATTTAATTAAGGTTTGCTAGAATTTGTTCCTCATCAATTAGGTAAACTTTCTTTCCAATAAAAGTTTGAAGAGGTTAACATTTTAAAATCTTTTAAAAAAACCTGCTTAAAAGAAACTTTCATCTGTTCAGAAGAAAGTAATTTTCATGATAAAAAACACCCAAACCTAACTCCTACTCTTCTGCTTTTGTCAAGACTTTTTCAGATTAATTTGTATGAAAAGAACAACTCTCAAATTTTAATCTTAGTGCAAAGTTTTGGGTTTTGATCATTTGAAGTTTATTATGGGGTCTCAGATTAGCTATCTTTCCTTTAGCATGATCTCAAAAATACAACCACAACACAAATTTAGGAGATTCAAACATGGTTTGTCTTACTCATGTGGCACAAAGGACCAAGAAAACGTGGAACAAATTCTTTGAGACTATACTTCAAGGAGATCAGTTGTTTCTTCCTCAACATACAGAAATTTGTAATTCCTACTTCAAAGGAACATTCTTTGGCAGTGTTTAAACAAACTAAAGGCCATCTTTTAGAGCCACCAAAATAAACTGTGGATGAAGACTGGACTAAATGACAAGATCACTTAAGACCCTTCCAATTCTAATCTATGATCTATATGCACGTTGAAAATACCACACCACATTCACCAATAAGTGGGCTGCTGCAGTCTTTGAATATCTGCCTTCTTTTAGACAAGGCTTATAGCATGAAGCTAGGTGCCTTAAAACTACAGAAAACCCTTAATTTGCTGGAAATATGCTGCATCTCAAAAGCAAACTATAATTGGAAACTATTGAAATGAAAAAGCTCTTTCTGAGCTTAAAAAAAATTCTTAAACTACAAAAAATGACGAGAAAAAAAAATCACATAATTCAGAATGGAGCTTGGGCATCAGTTCTTCCTAAAAGCTCCTCTAGTAATTCTTATAGTCAGCACTGAAATACAGCAACTTTTTTTAAAAGTCTACAAAATTGATGCTTGTTATTAGCAAGGTCACACTACAATTTAAAGCTATGCATAAACTAAAATAAATAATACCATTAAGACAAACTTATACACTTTACCTAAAGTGATATTAATAGTACTCTTTTAATGACATTAATCTAAAAAATTACTAAGCTATCGTTCTAATAACTTGGACAGCAAAGACAAACGCTTATAACAAGAAACAGGAGTTTTTCTAAATGGTTCACCAGTGGCCAACCTGTTAGTCCCCGATTCCAGTGACCTATTCTCAGAGCACTGGCTTCTCCTTGGGGATTTTCGATACTTCACTCACTGTTGCCATGACGACAGCTTCATCGCTATGTACCACTCCACATCACCCAGGCTTTGGTAAATGTAGCTGGTCGCTGTATAGTCGGTTGCAAGGGAAAAAAGAGTTGAAGTTAATAACATATACAAGCTACCTGTCTGAGTAAACTTGTAATATGCATAGAAACACTTTTACATCCTGCTTTTTAAAAAAAGGCTTCCATGCAATTAACAACTCCCTTTAAATTTCATGCTGTAATCAGACTTCTAAGACTGAGACACAATCAATTTGTGATAATGACCAAAGGGGGGGGGGACCCGACACAACAGTCAAATCAGGTGAGATGTTTTAAATTCCAAGGTTTTCACAGTTAAGAGAACCTACTCAGACATCAAGGAAGAATACTCCATCTCAAAGAAAAATTTCAAAGTAGATAATAAATGATAATAGCAAAATGGTTCAAAGAATACTAACAGAAAACTATTTCCTTTAAGCAAACAGAATCCTTTGACTAAAGAATCGTGTCATTGTTTAAAACACCCTTAACAATCAACTAGATCTAAATATAACTTTTAGCTCAGACCATACTAAATTATCAATTTGAAAACTCCGAAGTTTCAGGGATTCCTCACTAAAAAGCTAGAAGACATTTTTAGATGCAATTAAAAAGTTAGTCTATCCCTGAAAATAAGGTGAATGAGAAAAGAACAGGAAAAAGAATGTAAGAAAACTGAAAACTGCTGTGAAAACTACCTGGGTAACAACATTTCAGTCTAAGTAGGCTAACTAATCATTTCAAGGCTACTATTCGCTTGTCTCTAAATAGTTCCATTACCAACAATTTACAGATTCAACTCATAAGGACCACTCATGGGAGCTATTAATTTGGTACTAACCAATGCCTAACCCCAGAATGACTTAAAATCTTTTTATAACTGACTTCCTTTCAAACTCAGTACAAGTTTATCTAGTATCACAACTTCTCAAAAAGTGAACAGAACTACTAATCTACACTATGTATGTACTAGAAGCATCTAGTACTAGAAGTCATCTGCAGACACAAGCAGCACTGTAACTAAAACTTTTTGGTACTGTCTCACAGGAACACATAAAATGCCAGCAGGTGTCCACCTATAAAACAACACTATTTTGGTTTCTACTTTCTTACTAGATCAGATAAACGGGCCCTATCTAAATGCAGCCCACTCAGTGAGACTGTTATCTGACCAAAACAAAATACCTGTTTAATCCCTTTGACTCCAAACTTTATCATCCTGCAGTCCTTTCAGATCCGGTATTATGGGGGGATATCGTAGTTCAATGTTGAGAAGTATTCTAACAAAAGCCAGCCTCAATTGGTAAAGAATTAACTGGAACTTCCAGTGGTAAGACAATCTACACAAAACTTCACCACAATATTAACTTGAACTGCAGTGTTTAAACTTCCAGCCTTTAGCCTTACAGAGAAGGGAGGGGAGAAATAACTTACAGAACACACTCACACTTGAGACAAACATATTCCCTTTCTTGATTAATCTTAAAACCACAGGACTGGCTTCACAGGACTGTTAGGATTGTCCATAAATGCAACTGCCTCTACAAACTTCAGGTAACTGGTTAACTGCGGTTTTTCAAATTATAAGTATCAGTGTGTTCCTACGTGAATTTTAACACCTAAATTAAAGTCAGTTTTCCCTTGCGTCGGTTTTAACTTGAGAGAAAAGAATGTTTTGATATGATTGGTGCACAGTTCAGCAGTAGCAAGAGATGCTGCATTCAATAATGCCAATCTTACCTTTTTCCTCTTAACTGGCGGAGGTGGTGAAATACATTAATCACATCTCTTATTCTTCTAGGTGCTTCTTCGATTTTTGATGCAAGATTTATACACGCCATGGCAACAATCTGGGGGGAAAAAAAGCCAATAAAAAGCTGTTAGATTATGGCCGGGCAGCAGCAAAGCAGAAAGAAGCGCCCCTCTCAAAGTCTACGGAACTCATTCTAATGAAAAACTTTCAGACACAGCTGGGGCATTTGGTGAAATGAAAGTGCAGTTGACATTTCTAGGACATAGACTATGCTAATGTGACGTTTCTTCTTATTGCCTGAAAGTTTAGTCGCTCAGTCGTGTCCGACTCTTTGCGACCCCAAGGACTGTAGCCTACCAGGCTCCAATGTCCATGGGATTTTCCAGGCAAGAGTATGGGGGTGGAGGCTGCCATTTCCTTCTCCAGAGGACCTTCCCGACCCAGGGATGGAACCCGGGCCTACCACACTGTAGGCTTTACCATCTGAGCCACCGGGTAAGTCCTTATTCCCCTTAATTTTCAATCCGGAGCCAAACTCAATCTCACAGGAACTCTCCATCTGATTGAAAATGCAAATTCTTGGTAATAAGGCACCTGGGCTCAGGCTCCATCTTCTGGTTCTCAAACTCTCTCCGCAAGTCCCTACTCCCCTATGGGTGAGAACTAGGTACAAAGGCCTAAAACTAACCACTCCCTTTCTGTAAAGGCTGGCCGCTGACACTACCCCCTCCTTACTTCCCATTTCCGGATGGAGAAATTCCCGCGTCGCCCGCCCCCGCCCTGCTTACCTCGAAACTGTGTTTGACGAAAGACTTGGAGTAGAAAAACCGATGAAACAACACCTGACCCGTTGCCATCGCCACCTGCAGACAAGAGAAGAGAACGGAAGCGCAGGGGTCAGGCGGGCCCGCACCAGGCGCCGCCGCCATTTTGTGCCTCTGCTCACTCCCCTCCCCCTCCCCACCGCCAACAGCTCCCGGGCGGTCCTCCCACCGCAAGGGCCCTCCCGCGCTCTGGCTGCGACCGCGGCTGAAGAGGCCCAGGGGGTGACCCCCACGCGGCGGGCCCTGGTGGTACCGGGAGGCAGCGGAGGGGAAGGTGGGGAGGGGAGGCGCGCCTGCCGGCCCGGGGCTGGAGCACTGACCTGCGGAAGCCGGAGGAGAATGCCGGCGGCCTGGATGAGCTCGCAGCCCAGGATGCGCAAGTCCGTCTCGCTGGGCAGGTCGAGCCCGTCCTGCATGGACGGGGTGGGCGATAGCCGCTCCTCCGGAATCAGCGAGTGGTCGATGGTGAGCGAAACTTCTGAATAGAGACGGTCGCCGATCAGGATTCCCCCCGTCGTGGTCGTCGTCGTGGTCGTCGTGCCGGAGCTTGACCCGCCCGCGCTCGGGGCAGCAGACGAGACGGCGGTGGCAGCGGTCGCGGTCGGGTGAGGCCCGGACGCCATAGTCTCAGCGAGCTGCACGCACGCCCAACGCAGCCGGAACCCGGAGTGAGACTAACCAGCGTTCTCGGCGCGACGGATATTCCCGTGACCGCCGGGTTCTGGCCGCTTCACGCAGGGTGCGCTTCCGCCCTGACGTCACCACGCCCAGCCGGCGTGCCAACTAGTCCCTTCAGGCGGCGTCTCCGCCCGCGGAGCCTACGCCCGCGCCGGCCGCGGAGCGCAGGCCTCTGGGTGGGACCGTCGGGTGACCCGGATGACCTCTTCGTTGGTTCCGCAGAGTGGCTGGGGACGTGGTCTACTTACTAACACAACCTCAAACCGCCTCGCCTCGTTTGTAGTATTTTTAATCAAAAGAGTAATCAGGGAGCTTTACGAGATACCTTATCTCCAAGTTCGAGTCCGCAAATTTACTGTAACCGCTGCACAGTTTTGCTAATTCCTCTAGAACGTGCGTCCGTGTGCTCCCGTCCCTCTTCCTCTCCGAACTCTCCGCATTTGGGCGGCGCAGGTTCAGCGAGTACAAAGAGAGGCGGCGGATCGACCTTCGCCCGCATTGGCGGGTGTAAGTGGTTACTCCGGTGTCGTGTAGGGCCGAACTTGTAATTTAAAGTGACCCGCGAGGAATCTGGAGTGGGTTGCTTTACGGTATTTTTAGAAAACAGGAATGTGAACGACTTCGGTTCCAAGTGGGGGAAAAAAGCTCACCGTGAGCCTGTGATTCCCAGAGGTATCAAGTAGGGCGCAGGCTTCGTATTGACTGCGAGGGCGGCTGCTTTAGCGGCTTAGATTATGAAACAGGCCTGAGCCAGTGACCACGCCACAGCTTTCGCTAATCTGGAAAATCCCTAGTTTCCAAAAATAGTTTTAGGGCGAGGCCTTACAGAGGTAATTTGATTATGCCCAGAAAGGAGTCTATGTGTTCCTGCGTGATTGATGCAATTAGCAGTATGGAGAAATCGACCTCCGGTGTATATATGGGATCGATTTCTCCCATATATATATATTTCCTCTGTGATATTAGTAGCTCTCCAAATTTCCTGAAGTTTGAAGTAAAAACAGTGATACCGATCCAAACTACTAGAAGCTAGAGCTAGACAAAAAGTATGTCTGGGTTTACTCCATTTTTATCCTTCGCCTGAACCTAGGAGACATGGTCTGGAGATGAGACGCCCCATCGCCCATTATATAGCTCAGTTTTAAGGCTTACTTGGATTAATTATAGAAAGCGAATTGAAACTTCTACAAATAGAGCAAAGAGTTTTTGTATATTTTGATATTTTTGTGTGTGATCTCGAAAGCGCAACATAACTCAAAAATCCTCATTTTAGAAAAAGCATTAAATCAACCTTACACCAGTATTTCTGAACTCTGGCTGCACTTAAGGATCTTCAGAGGAGCTTTTATTTATTTTTGGTCACATCGCAGCAGCTTGTGGGGATCTTGGTTCCCTGACCAGGGATTGAATCTAGGCCCTTAGCAGTGGAAAAAACTGAATCCTAACCACTGAACCACTAGAGAATTACCCAGAGGAGCTTTTAGAACATACTGATGCCTGAGTCTTACTTGTAGCAGTTAATATGATTGATTTGCAATAGGCCTAGGCAGTGGTTGAATTTTACCCATAGTCCAGGCAACTAGAATGTTCACCAGGATTGAGAAACATTGCTCAAATCAAGACACCTGACTTCTCTGCTCCTCACCTTCACCTTTGTGACTAGGCTGTTTCCAGGGAAACGTCCCTCTTCAGTATTCAGCAGGGATCTAAAATTCTGTAACAAACTTTGACATCTCTAAAAACTAATTGATGGTATGCAATTTTGCTGGTTCCGACCATCTAGTATGCAATTGTGTAGATACTATCAAGTGGGGAGTGCTTCAATTATTTCAAAGTAAAAAGGGAAAAAAATAAAACCTAATTGGTAATATGCTTCATCAAAACACTGAGCTTCAGTGAACTCATCACCTGTATTTGTAATGACTTGAGAGTAATGTAAGACTATTTCTTGATGTAACATTTTTCTAATATTAAGAGAATCTCCCACCATGCTTCTCCAGTAAGCTGATTTGGTGATGTCTTGATGTATTGGGTTGGCCAAAAATTTTGTACAGAAAAACCCTAACGAACTTTTTGGCCAACCCATTGTTTTACAATACATTTTTAACCTCCAGGTCCATGATTCATCTAAAAAAGTTCACAAGCATAGGAATGAGGAGTTCTGGGAGAAGGAGGTGTGGCTTGCTCTACTTCTGGTATCTTTTCCCAGAGGACTTCCCTGCTGCCCTCCTCCTGCATCTGGCAATAACTTCCAGAAGTGCATAACCACTCAAACTATTCGACAACTTTGTGCCCACTTCCCACTCTTTTCTGACTATACTTCAAATTGCATCCAGTTGAAGTTTGAGGTGTTAGTCGCTCAGTCATGTCAGACTCTGTGATCCTAGGCACTGTAGCCTGCCAGGCTCCTCTGTCCATGGGATTCTCCAGGCAAGAATACTGGAGTGGATTGCCATTCCCTTCTCCAAATATTTTGTATATTCTTTCTTAACAGCAGTCCTAGTAGACCCTGAGTTTACCCACGTCTAAAAGGAAATCATTGATAATTAAAGTTGCATTTTAACTTACCAAGACCTGCAGGCTTCAGATGATGACTGAAAAGACAAATGGAATTATCTGTGACCTCTCTGAGGCTATTGAAGAATCATATTCCTGATGCTTAAATCCGTTCTCATGCCATTAGTCTCTGCAGTCTCTCAGGGGAGTGTATTTTTCATTATTATTTAAACTTTCAGTTTCTTTAATCCTAAAAATTTCATTAGTTTCTTCAGCAATTGGCTAACCATAAGTGGACTAGCAGAGTTTCAAAACACAACACTGTAATTTAGGCTAAGAGCAAATGAAGTATAAGTCCCCTACCAAGAAGGACGTACACTCTTAATAAAGGGCATGGTACACTCAGAGACAAATATCAAGGTGCCCAGTAAGTGCAAAAAGCAGTCAGAGAAGGGATAAGTCATTATGGTTCATGTCACCAGGGAGCACTTAAAACCTTAAGAAATTGCTAGTCAAGTTTCTATTCACAGCAGAAATCAGAAAGAATCTGACCTCACAAAGGAACGATTCGTATAGTTACATGACTTTTTCATTTAGTCCTGTGGCAGTTATATGGCAACACATTCTGATCAGCTTGCTCTCACCATTAGGAAGAGTCATTCTAGGGAATTCCCTGGCGGTCCAGTGGTTGGGACTGAACATGATTTATATGTAATTAACACTTAGACTTGTGCTGTTTGCTAAATCTTGTAACACTGGCCTGAGCTCTGTTGGCTCTGTGGAGAACTGGTTCTGGCACTTAAACAACCACCCATTGTCTCATAAAGGGATCCAACTGGCCCCCTTGATGGTCTAAAATTCTTTGACTGTTTATTCAGACATCTTGAACTGCAGACTACCCCTTGGTTATTTCTTCGTTATTGTATTTTAGTCACCAAGCCTTGTTCCTTCCTTGGATCTGCCTGTCCTGTTCTACTATATCTGCTGCCTTTCATGCCTGGACCACCACACTAGCTTTCTAAATGGTCTTCTTGCCTCCAGTCTCTCCCATCCTTAACTCATCCTGGGACATCTTAAATTGCTCTTGAAATATCAGCTTACTTCTTCCATTTTCTCAAAAAAAAAAAAAAGTTGGAGATAATAGAAATCAATACTTTTTGGCAATTGAGGCTTTCCACAATCTAAATTTGCCCTGTCACTCATTTCCTCATCGAATTACCACCGCACCTTATTCCCGTTTCAACCCGAACCAAGATCAGCTGGACCTGTCTCACCAATATGTGTTTACCTTCCCGATTTCACTTAACCCTGCTTCCATTTCTCAAGTCTACAATATTCTAACTCCTACTTTATGATAAACAATTTTTTTTTTTTTTTTGAGATACAGATGAAATTTCCTACCCTTTGCCAGGGGCCTCCTCCACCTGATCTACCTTTTATTAATTTTCTCCTTCTTTGGATTCCCTCCTAGTATGCATTCTGACACATGATTCCGTACGATCATGCAGTTACCTGATTACTTCATGGGTGAGCTTACTGACTCCTTAAAAACAGGACCATTTTTGCATTTATTGACATTCTCCACAGAAACCTATAAGACACTGTGTATATGGTAGATACTTAATCAGAGCTTGCGGGCTGACCTACATGCTTTTCTCCTAGGGCCTTCCATAGGCTGCCTGGTCCTGCCTTCTCCGTTCCATCCGGAGGTCAGTCCTATCCTCGGGTGTCTGTCCTACACAACCCTCTCTCCCTAGTAGAAGCTACAGGTGCCGATTTATCCTGCTATTTTTGCAACACTTGGTAGATCAGTCACATTTCCACTTCTGCTCTATGCTGTGTCTCACAGGGCGCTTAATAGCCCGCGACCTCTGTTCTACGTAGGCCTGGGCTGGGGAACTGGAGGCTTGTTGGAACTGCTGCACCCAGAGAGTCGCAGCAAGGGGCCAGGAACGCAAAGAAACTACACAGCGATGTTATCTGGTGACTGAGTGTGAACAGAGGCTCGGAGACAGTATTTGGAGGTGTGTCCAGAAACTGGGCATGTGTGGCTGAAAGTTAAAAGGCGGGTGCCAATTTGATGAACTGCAAAGCTAACAAAACCACAGGTTTGCTTTTGAAGTTAGTATCTAGTCTCATCTCTTTTATTCAAAAAAGGAAACTAAGGTCCAAAGATGAGGCTGCAAATAGCTACTCAGTAAATATCTACTGATTGCAAATAATCCAATCAAGCCGGTCTTTGGATGGATTTATTCATAATATTTAGTGTCAGAAACTGGTCAGCCAGTCTTAAAGAGCTTATTAGCATGATTTCCAAACAGATCACATCAAGGAAGTGTGACTCCATCAACCCCTGGATTTTGGCCTACTGAAACTGATTTAGGATTTCTAACTTGAAAAACTGTAAAATAATATAAATTTTTGTTTCTTTATGCCCCTAAACCTGTTGTAATTTTAAATAGCAGTTATAGAAAACGAATGCAGTGAGATCTGCCATTTCCTGGTATTCTTTAAGAAATGCTTCTCAAACTTTAAGATGTATACAGATTACCTGGGTAGAGCCTGAAAGCCCCATTTCTTAAAAAGTCTCCCAAGTGATGCTGATACTGCCAGTCTAAGCTATTCTGAGCAGCAAGGCTTTAGAGCACATTGGGTGATTTTACATCTTTTGCTAATCTCAGTATGGAGGAAGTGGAACCCAACAGCAGAAAGTACTGGAGGCTCTGGAGTTGACCCCAGAGCCCTGGGGAAAAAAAATTCCCTTCACTCAATAGCCATGCAACTTGAGGCAAATGACTAAATTTGCTTAAATTAAACAATTATTTAAGCTGTTTTCTCACTACTAATGGCTTCCCAGGTAGCTCAAGTGATAAAGAATCTTCCTGCCAGTGCAGGAGCTGAGGGAGACACAAGTTCAATCCCTGGGTTGGTAAGATCCCCTGGAGAAGGAAAGGGCAACCCACTCCAGTATTCTTGCCTGGAAAATCCCATGGACAGAGGAGCCTGGTGGGCTACAGCCCATGGGGAGACAGAGTCAGACACGACTGAAGCAACTTAGCACATGCACATTAACCACATATAAATGATGAATTACCAGTAAAATGAAATTAAAATGCAAGACTGAATTGTTTATTATTAGATTCAACACACACACAGTTCTGTCAAACTGCCATAACACGTTTTAGACACTTTCTGTCAATTTCTGTACTGACTGATGCCTGTAACAAACAGTTCAGTTTGGTTCCTGCCCATGGGCCACTCTTTGACTGCTATTACTGTTTAAATTTTTTGATAGTGAATAGATATTACTTATATAATTGCAATTAATTGTTTTGAAAACAAATCCAATTCAATCTAATAATAGAAATAGGGACACAGGACAGAAATGGTTCTGAGATAAGAGTAATCTTATGGACAAAGAAGGTGGTAACAAGAAGGTGATGTGAGATCTAGGTTTTAAAAGTTAGATAGGTATTTGTCTGCAGGGTGAGTGTGGAAGAGCATTTTAGGCAGAGAGAGACAGGTCCAGGACAGAGACAGGACAGGACAGGTCCAGGACAGTGGACATCTGTGTTCTAGCCTGCCTGTCATCGTCTTCAGTCTTTCCTTTTCCCTAGGGACCCAGAGCTTCTCCCTTCTCTGCACAGGTGGTCTGGGTGGGTCTGATCTCTTCCCCAGCACCTCCCAGCCCACTTCCTCCTGGTGATTGGTTCAGGACAAAAGCCAGTCCAAGACACTGTAATCCTGGCCAGGGGAAGACAGAAAGGTGCTTGTTCCTGTTAAGATTGCTGAGAGGAGGATGTAAGCCTGGCACTACAGAAGAGAACCAGTGACTGGACTGTCTCAAAAGAATCAAGAGCTATAAATCAGAGTACTACTAAGAACATTTATTTCTTCAAACCTTTCCAGTAGTTTCATTGTACTGTTTCCCTCTAACTGGGCCTAGGCAATATTCTATTTCTAAATATTCTGCTTCTAAAAATAGAAAGGGGCCAGCAAGTCCCTGAAAAATGACGTTTAAAAAATGATTCCATTTTCCTCTTAAGGACTGAGAGTTACAATTTTGAACAATTTAGTAGCTGACTTCATTTAGTAGTGTTTTCTATTTCCAATAAGCATTCAACATGCTTCTTTCAGTGCAAGAGCAGTCTTTCACTGAAGAAACTATTAGGAATAAGAAATCAGCTTCTCTGAAGCACCCTACATATTTGTCTTCTTAGTGGGAATAGGAGGTAACTTCTGGGAATCTGAGGACCACATCAGACATTTAGAACATTGTAAAATAAAAATAAGTGAGCCTCATATCGTTGCCATCCTTGTCACAACTCTTTTAGAAAAATTTCCTATGATTTTTGTCTTTTATGGTATTTTTTTCATGACTCTAGGTCAACTGTTTCGCAGCATATTCCTTCATTTGGAGTTGTCAGTGATTTATTATTAGATTCCTATTTTCCCAGGAATAATCCATAGTTGTTGTTGAATCTTTCTCTAAGCTTCATAGCAAAGGGCACGTGATGCCCAAATCTTGGTTAATTTTGATTTAGTTAAGGTAGTGTCCACAAGATATATTCTCTGTAAAGGTACCCCAACATCTCTGAAATAGGTCATCTATGGGATGATTCTTTGATGGTAAAAAACAGACACAGTTTAATAACATCTTACATATATAGTTTCAAGAAAGAAAAATGCCTCAATATGAAACTTTGTAGATTTGGAAAGAGTTATTTCAACAAATCTCTAGTGAGTACCCACTGAACTATGTTATGCTAAGTGCTCAAACCAAAGAGTGGAAGACAGACCAGCCAAAAGGAGAATTCAAGAGTGACAAGGACCACACTAAGCATGAGGAAATGGGAATCCAGAGAAGCGAAAGATTTTAGGTAAAGAATTTCTATTGAGTGGTAGGGTTAGA